CCCGCTGAAGCAGCTGGTTCTTGATCATCGTACCGAACTTGTCCAAGGTCCACACTACACGAAAGGGAGGGAAAGGGCGTTAGCTATGGATGCGGACCACATGCGTGTGGCTCACGCGGTTCGGAGGGAGCACGTACTGGCCTTGTCTCCGGTGTCGGGGAGCGGGCCGACGATGAGGCCGACCATGGAGCTGGGCGACTGGGGGTCGCTTGGCGGCTGCGCCTTGGCCTTCCCCTTCCCCTTGGCGTCCTCCGCCTTCTTGTCGGCAAAGTGCACGAGGGAGATCACGAAGGGACCGCCCATGTTCGGCTGGATCTGGTGCGTGTTCACCGAGTACTCGATCGCGATCTGTGTACCATACCAGAGCACCAGAGAGTGAGTTCGTAGCGGGGAAGAAACACGGGCAAAGCAGCTAGCTTAGGCTGGACCTTTGGGTGTGTGGTGTGGTTCTGGTAGAGGGCCAGATCAGCCTTGGACGGGGTCGAATCGTCGATAAACTCGAACTGTGGTGGGGGGGGTGGCGTTACCACTCCACACAAAGCAAAAGAGAACTGGGTGACCCTCTTGTCTCGCTCTCAAGGGTGGCTCACCTGTCGCACAATGTGGCCAAAGAAGTAGGCGTGGGCTTCGGATTCGGCGGCGGACTCACTCGAATCGTCGAACGGGTGGCTCAGCGAGACGACGTACAGTTTTTCTGTTGGTCCGAAGCAAAACAATGAAAGTTGCGTCAGTCGGTACAACTTGCGAAAGTTGAAGCTTGTCGTTATGTACGAACCGTCTTTGACTGCAATCACCTCGGTGAGCTTTCGGGTCTGTGCGTCGGTGGTGACAGAGTATGTGAGCTTCCGTGCAGCATGGCCTGCACAACGAACCGAAGATTAGTGCTTGAGCGCGTCACAACGCACGAAGGAACGAGAGAAGAGCTCAAACCGGAGAGCTGCGTGTCCGATGAAGACACCTCGGCGCCGATGGCGAGTCTTCGCGCCTCGTCCATGTGTTCGCCCTCGGACTTGGAGGCACTGACGGCGACGGTGATCTTCACCGCCTCAAGCGACTCCCTCA